TATAAATTTATTAAATATTTTTAATACAATAATTTTTAATGTACAATTATAAATTATAAATTTATTAATATAATTTTTAATAATTTTTAATTTTCATAAATTATATTTTTAATGTATAATTCAATTTATAAAACATAAGTTTTTATTTAATATTATAATTATATTATTTTTCCCTTTCAATCATTTTTGTCTTTTTGAAAAGTCTGCATTTCAACGAGAAATTTGTTTTTTATTTCTTTTTTTAAAAAGGTAGGTATTATCAACGTTGTACATTTATTTTGTCTTCCTTTTTCGTGACTTCTACTTGACCTTCAAAACTAGATTTATTTGCGGATAAGTTTCCACTCTCAACCGTTTGGACATGGCTTATGGTATATATTTTTCCATATTACAGCCATTTTGCATTTAAAAAAAAAAAAATCATTTTAGAAAGCTGTACATGAGTGGACTCAGCTTCCAGCCATGTTTTAATTGGACATGAGTCAAAATCAAGCTTCAACTCATTGAACTTATCCATTTCGAAATCGAGATGGAGTGTGACAAACTCCTAAACTAGTTTAGGAACATTGTGGCGGTTAAAAAAATATTTTTTAGTCCTTTTATTTATTTTTAATTAATTTAATTTAATTTTTTTTAATTTTTAAATATAAATTTTAATTAAAATTTAATAATTTATATAAATAATAACTAAAATTTTTTATCAAAAAAAATAAAATTTCTATTCATATATATTTCAATTATTATTCATATATATTGTTAAATTTCTATTCAAATTTCATATCATGAAAGTTAAAAAATCAAACTAAATCTATTAAAAATGTAATCTAATTTAATTGTCTTATTTTTTAAATAAAAAATTATGAACTAAATATATATAATTAAACAATTAAATTAGAGTGAGTCAATAAAATTATAAATAAAAGGAACACCAAGAATTTCCTTATAGTGTTAGTATGGGATATAATGCAAAAAATAAGTTAAAATCTGATAAAATTTTATTGATATACTTTTTATTTAACACACTTGTCAATATTAATTAGTTTCATTATTAAATTTTATAGTTAAAAAATTTTGTCTTAAATTTAAATTTAAAAATAATAATATTTTTTAATAAATGTTATGTTAAATATATTAAATT